TTCAACTATTTTTTCCAATTATTGTCTCTCAAAAGTATCACTCAAACTCCAGAAGTTAGCTGGACTCTTTGGAGGCCTGCTGAACTCCTCATGGCAAGATAATTATGTACAATAACAGGGCACCGTAACTTGCTGACATTCCCACATGCACCCTGGAATAATCCTCAAATTAACAGAAAGAATACATAGAAAATAAGCTCTCTTATTTTCAGCCCTTTTCCATCAAGAAACTCCAGGTCACTACATTAGTATCAGAAAGATTTACTCAAGTCCATCCTTGCAAGGTCACATAACAACTGTAACAGTTACAGCAAGTCATGACAACAGATGGATTTGTCAGAATTTGCGCAAGGCACTAATTGGGAACATCAAGGCACTACAATTTCTCCTTAAGAAATACTGTACTGTATTTAAAGAAGCTGTCTACCTTAAGACAAACAATTATTTTCATAGGTTTTAATATAACTATGGTTTCTTGACAAAATTCAGCATTTTCAAATAAAACAATCACATTTTGTCTGAGAATTCAATCTTACATGTCAGTGTTTATCACTACATCATCTTTGTTCTAAATGGGTTTTTATTTAACCTACAAGTGGGTTACTAGATTAATTTAATGGGTAAAAAAATAGGTCTTCAAAACAAAATAATACAGGGAAGACAAGTATACAAAATTGTGAGAATTAAACTGGAACAGATCTCTCTCTAAACTGAATTTAAATACAAAGCTGCAGAATTTAGAAGAAAATCATAAGGATGAGAAAACCACTGGAAATACCTGAGAAAAATAAGACAAAAAGTATCTTAAATATTTCTTGGCTTATCTGAACAGAATAAAACAAAATGCACATGATGCAAACTGAAGTGGTATCTTTGCATATGGCAGCCTATGTGAAGTTTTAAATATAGCCTAAACAACAAACACTTCAACTGTTCTGGAATTGAAAAAACAAAACTCAGACAAAGGAAAAAATAACAAAACTTAAGTTCAGCATTCTTGAAATTAAAGTAATAATTAGAAAGACAGCAGATATTTAGAGCTACACACTTTTCCAGAAACAGATTAAAAGTCGATTGAAATTAGGTATGACTGATCTGCAAGTCACATCCTACTGAGTACCTGCTTTGTGCAGAGCAGAGCAGATCTTACTACAAACTCGGGTGATGCCCCCTACCTCAGGGATTGCTGTTTGTAATTTCTCATCCCTGCTCATGGTCTTAACACCCATTCTGATGCAAAACAACAATCTTTCTGAAACCTTGTTTACTGTTACTGGGTGAGGATGCCAGTGTTAATGGTATCAGACAGATAAAGCTAAACAAACTGACCTTGAACAAACTCAGTGTCAGCAAGTGAAAACTGAAAATAAACTGTGAAAGTACATAAGGCAAAGACAAAAGTGTTCAACAGAAGGAATGCTGGAGGGGAAAAAAATTGCTTCAGTCAACTTAAAAGGATTGCAATAACACTGAATAACAACAAGGTGAAAATTATGGGGTTGCATCATAATTGTAATCTACTACCTGAACTTGAAAAGGAATTATGGTCTGCAAAGACAGAAGCCCTTTGCCTCCTTCAAACAGTTTGCAAGAGAGAATAAAAAGAAAAAAAGTCTAAAATCTTTGTGAGACAAATAATAAGTTTCAGTAAACATTTTCAATACCACTTGCACTATATAGAAAAAAATGTGTTAGCTACTAAATGACATGGTATTTGTGTAACAACTAGATTAGACTCAATAACAAGGATAAAACCTTTGCAAAAATAATTTAGATTTCAGGGGAGAAATGGTACAGAAAAAACATGGTTACATAAAAATACAGCTTTATGAGGAATCAAAAAAATAACATCTTTAATATATTAAGGTTTTTTTAAAATTTTTAATTAAGGTCAACATTTAATAGTGCTACTGTTAAACCAAAATTCTCAATCAACAGAAGAGTCTAATTTTTTGGTTAACTGAATCTTCGGAATTCTATTTTCCTTTGCTTGATTGGAGAGCAGGGACAGTTTTCAAAAAGATAAGAGATTCTAAAACCATTCCATAGACCAACTTTGATTACAGCAACAAGTAAACAGTTCCCCTGAAATATACCATAATTAAGTAGAGGAAAATTGCACCTTTCCTCCCTCACACCACACCATCCCCTGAAGCAGTCCACAGTGGTCAGAAAAAACACATTCTTAATAACAGGAATAGAATATTAAGGTTGAATTGTCAGCCTCCATCCATCAGAACTCCTCACACATTGGCAATGAGTTGTGATTTGTGAGTTATGCAACTCACAAATAATGTGGTCTGTTGTGCCTTTAAAAAAAAATTGACATAAGGGAAGTCTTCACCTTACACAGATGCATATAATTTACCCCAATTAACTTTAAATTGGAGTATTTTATAAATTGATATTTAAACTATTTACATAATATTAAGTCAGTATTTAGGAGGAAAACAAACAACAAAATGCATATGGGATACCAAAATACCTTTAATCACAATAGTAATTCAAGAACTGTACAAAGAGCAGCTACGCGATAGTGAGTAATTTAAAACTTCTCCATCTGTGTAATTCACCTCTAAACAGTACTGATTTAGGCTCATAAATTCACACAGAAATAATTTTAAAACTGACTGATAAAGACTTTTGGTTCAGTTGATAAAAATCACACTGTAAATACAAAAGATTGGATTTCATCAAGGCACTGGAATACATGTCAATTCAGTGGTAAGTCCACAAATTTATAAATGGTGCACCATCACTGAATGACCACCTGTCCACTAGTAATTTCTTCATCTGTACTCTGCTAAACATGTTTGTCTTTTTAAAGACATTTTTCTACCACAGAAAATCCATCAGTAAGTGTTTATAAAATGGTAGCATAGAATAAAACATGAAAATATCAGTGAGAATTTAGACTTGCAATCTATATGGCCAAAGTCTACCTATGGCAAAAGTATTCCAGCTCAGCAGCGAAATATTTTTTCACATTGTGCTGTACAGTTGTGTGGGATTTCACTGCTAAGGATGAATCCAAAACCACCTTTCATAATTCCTATCCTCAGACTCAATGTCTTAAGATGTGGTTTCCCCTTCCTCCTTTTATTTTGAGGAACCTTTACACCAGGGAACATGTTCAAGAATTAATTTTCTAAGTTAGTCTGATGCTCTGATAATCTATTCCTTTCATTCCACACTCATTTATTAGTTTAATAATCTTTCATTTTAAAGACAAGATCATGTGGAGCACAAAGTAGCAATCCCCTATGATAAAAATGGCTTACATTCACTCTCAGAAACAGTACTAGTAACACCAATGACTTAAACTTTCCCCCAGAAATGGGGGGGGGGGGGGGGGGAAGGCAAAGAAACATGAGTTTGGGGAAAATCTGACTGCCAATCCCCACTCTTTTCTAGCAGAAAAAAAGCCAGAATGGGCTCTAAGACTGGGTGTACTTGGAGAGTAGCATCACTTACAATTGATCTGTCATTTGATTAGGCCAAGCTTCAACTTTAGGGGAGAACCATGGAAAAAGTAGGAGTGAGGCTTACAGCACCCATTGTTCTCAGTATCGGAGAACACACGATTTCTGGGAAAGCAAGTTTTTTTAATCATCTTGCAGATTTCAGCAGCAAGGCTTTTCCTGAATTCTCACTTTCTTTAATCCCCAAACCATATTCTCCAAATGATCATAAAAACCCCCAATACTCAAAAGCAAACAAGCAAAAAATTCCACCCAAAACCCATCACCAAGGAACTTAATTTTTGTTTTTCCAAGACAAAATCTAGATATATTAGTTAAAGCTGCCAAAAAAATATCAATGCCACCCACTGATTTTACCACAGGGATGGAAAGCCTCTCAGACAAGACGGAAGAGAGTCAAGAGCTTTCCTTATTTTCCGATGTTCCTCTCATAAAACCACCAAGAAATAAAGCATAGATGTGCAAAAGTAAACCACGACAAGACAACACAAAAACCACCATTGTCTGCTTTTATTTGATCCTACACCTAGAGCAGACCATAGCATGTAATGAAAGAAGTACCAGGTAGCCCTGGTACTTTCTGTTTCTGAATAGAAAATGTTCATCCTGTGCCAAGTCACATCATACTGCTCTACATCCATCCAAGTAATCCATAAATTATAAAATAAATTGTCTTTATCATAGATGACATGTATATACAGAAAATAAAAATGTTTCTCTTCAAACCTGAGTTTGAACATAGGCAAGCTGTATTTTTTAAAGGATCATAAAACAGCGAAAGCACATCTGTCATACTGCTGTGGGTTCCTCTGTTAACTAGTGTAGAAAAAAACCTGAATTTTAAGGATTCATAAGGAGATATTCATAGAGATCTCTTAATTTTTTTGTGAAAAATGAGAATTTCTCTAAATGAAAGATTGACACATACATATTCTCCCTAGCTAGAAGGAGAATTTCTGTCTAAAGTAAAAATCAAGGGAAAGCTATATGCAACTGAAAATGTGAGGAAAATGGAAATTGTAATGCTACACTTATGCAAGTACTACAAACTGCAGTGACTGCAATATGAAATTAATTGGCAATTCTCCAATAATATTTGTTTTCGGTAACAACAGCTGCTTTTACAAAAATGTTGACTTTGTGATGTACAACATTAGTAATCACTCCTTATATTCAGGGCCTGTCTTCTCTGCAAGACAAGAAAACAAGTCAGAAAAAATCAAGAAAACCATAATCATATGCCTTCTGAATACAAACAGGTTAACCAGTAAAAACAGTAATAATTCCACCTACTATGTTAAGCAAAGAAAATAATTTGCAGTGTTACCTGAAAAAAAATTGAACACTACTTTTAAGATAGCCAAATCTGCCAGGAACAAATATGCCTAGAGAATTATATAGATGAAAGAGGGGCGCAGTCTCCTGTGATAGAGACTAACTGTTGTAGAAGGTGCCTGTCCTAGTAAACACAGCCCTAGCACACCACTTCATACATGGCAGACTTGATACATATAGAATAACGTCTTTAACAGAATTACCAGATTGAAAGAACAATTTATTGAGGCACACATTCATAATCCACAGTACCTAAATATTTGATCTGCCTGCTGCCTTTTATTATGCATTGAAGTTTGACTTCTTTCAAAGCAGCATTTCCTAAAAAGACCAGACACAGAAAGACATGAAACATGTTTAATTTAAGACTAATGTATTAATTTTTTTTAACTGCTGGACAAAAATATTACGTTTTTACTTGCAAATATTGTTTGAAAATATAAGCCAGATAATATTACAGAATAAAAGATTTAAATTCTTTTTCTTCAAATAGCATGCTAAAAATGGTGGAGCATTTATATACATATTGCACTGCAAAATTTCTGTACAGCTAGTAGCATCTAAATAAGTTTGCATTTAGAGAGATATTCTTCAGATCAAAAGTGCTTATACCACAAAAACCACCCAGTTTTCAACTGTCTTTAGTTCACATTTAGTATCTTTAATCACCTTCTATTACCTTGTCCATCTTCAAACTTAAAATCTCTTGCTAAATGGCAAGTAGACATTGTTCTGCAGACACAAAAATACCTAGACATTACAAATGATTGAATTAGTGTCACCACATTTCTATGCATTAAGTAAATAGCTTTAAATTTACAAAAATAATCAAAAATAGGCATCTGGATATACTTCTTAATTAAAACATACTTGAAATTTTCCTTACAAATAATTGTAGCTTGAGAGCAGGAGCTTAAAATATTTGTTTTAATATTCGACTTGTGCCTACTTTAATGTAGAAACTGCACTATCATCATTTTCACAAGACTGGAGGAAATTCTAGCTAAGCCAAAGCTAGGAATAAAAACAAAGAACTTAGCATAGCAGCTTTTTGCATTACCTCACCCAAATTTTATTTTGGGAGGGTGTCACTTCACAAATATATTATGTCTCTTTCTACAGTCCAAGAATCACTATTGCCGTGTAAAAGCACAAGCCAATGAACTAAACCACCAGTATCTCACCATGAAAATCCAGGATATCCCATTTCTATAATACTTTTCAGTCCCAGACACAGTGCTTTATAGGACAGGAAAACAATGATCTACCGGAGTTTATGTTGTAATGCAGCACAACCTGCATGAAAACAACAGCTAGGCCACTACCAAAGTATGTAGGAATACTTTGGCAGGAATACCTTCAGAGAAGTTTGGAATTTCCAGGTAACTTCTGCCACCACAGAATGAAGCATATAGAGGAGGCAGGTAGTGGCCTTCACAGGATGTGACAATCCTACCAGAATTTTGCTTGAATTTACAAAATCAAGAATTTTGCTTGAATTTACAAAATCACTAGAATTTACAAAAATCTACTTCCGCCAAAGGATGATTGTCCTCCCAGTTTTCCATTTGTATAATAGAACTAGTAAGAAAGTAATGCCATTCAAGTTTAAAATTCACTGTCCACATAGCTTTTCTCCTAACAAAAAAAAATAACATCAACCACTTATCTCTACAGGCACTGCAGTTTCACATCATTTCACAGAGGACTAGTATCACAATTGAAAAATACAAAAGGTCAGCTGTAGCAATCCTTCTGTAACAGTTTATTTGTAACACCTTTCCCAAGCAAGACTAAAAAAGAAAAGCAAAAAAGCACAGAACATCTACAAGATACGGCAAACACAGAACATCTACAAGATACGGCAAACACCGACACTACTACTATCTCATTAAAAGCACTCCAAAACTTCCTGAATTTTTGTTGCAAATACTTCAAAACCTGGAGAAATTGTAGTCTAGGAGCAACAGTAACAGCACAGTGTTTTACACTGTACAGTGCTAAGAGACATTTAGCACATTAGCTCAAGAATGAGCTTTATAGGAAGAATAAATTTTCTAAGGTAGTCTGAGATGCAAGAGATGTACTAAAAGCGAAGGAAAACAGTACAAGATAGAGCTGTTCTGAAACCTATAAAGTATAAATTTTTGAAGTGTGCACCATTAAGGCATTTTCAGAAATGCCTAAAACCACAGAAATTATCAACTACTATTTCATTCTAGAAATTCCCATCTTTCTGAAATAACAAATACATTTAAACAGCCTTATGTAGTAGCTGAAATCATCCAATTTCAAGAATGCAATCACAAATCTCTCACTCATGTTATACAATATAAATATTCTCTACATAACTGAGTAATTCCCTGTATTTTCAAGAAACTGCACAAGATTAACAGCAAACACTCCATCTCCTACCAAAACAATCCAATAACTTCAGTGTGACCAACAACTTTCATTTTCACATGTTTAAAACAGCAAATCAAAAAAGATACTAAAAAACATCAAGACTACTTTAAAGAAAACTATAAAATTGCTTTTATAAAAGCATCTTTTAAAAACTCTAAAGTCTCCAAACATGAACAGAATGGGAAATACAATAAAAGAGAATTGTGCAGATGAAGAGTCTTGCAAAGCTGACATTTTATGCAAAGCAAACACCTCTTTTGTCACACCTACACCTTGCTGCAAAGCCCGACAGTGGTGAACTGTACGGATGTATCTCTGGCACAAAACCACAGACAGCATTAGCAGGGTGACATCATCAGACACACAAGGCCTAGCAACAAATCCTCTGGGCATGCAGCTCATGTGTTAATGAGGGAGACCATGGCAGAGGCACAGCTATGCCTCCAACAGCAGCACCCCATCTGATCACTACTGAAAAAAGGCAGCCCTTGGAAGCAGTTCCAGCAAGTCTTCTGGAAAACTTCTGCTGGCAATGCACACTCACCCACAACAAAGTGAGCCCATTGACCCATTTCCAAATCCAGTAGTTTTTTCTTTTGGGAGTGAGGAAAATAAAAATACTTTATGAAAACTTTACCCTTGGAGGTATTTTGTTTGTTTTTCTCTATGTTCAAGAAGAACAATATTTAAAAATAACTACTTCCCAATCATATTTGATATTTTTCATTATTTTGTAATCTAGATTTCTTTTTCTAATTTACATTTTAATGTTTCAGATAGAAAATATTCTTAAAGCATACTTGTAATTTTACCAAGGTGGTAGGAGAGGGAACACCAGCACAATCTTCTCCATTGCTGTGGTTTAACCTCAGGCCCTCAGGCAGCAGCTCATTACCCACAGTGGGATGGGGAGGAGAATCAGTAGGGTAACGGTGAGAATAGACAGATATACACACACACATATATATGTGTATATATATATATATAAATATATGTATATATCTCACAAAAACTTGAAAGACTTAAAAATAATTTTGCTGTTTTAGAAAACTGTAATTCAATTGCATAACAACAGAATATGTACAATTCCCAGAGAGACATACAAAAAAAAAAAAAAAAAAACCCTGAACAAACCACATTTGCATGCAACAGAACAAGAAGATCAAATGGAGACAATCATACCAACACAAGTTGGTGTCTGAGGATCACCCCAGCAAGACAATTTTTAGGGAAAGCCTCAGATACAACAGAACTTTTAATAGTTATTACTGAAAAATATTAATTAAAAAAATTAATTTAAAAAACCAAACTATACAAAACAAGGAAAAAGAGGAACACTAAGCTAAGGACTCTTAAAAATACTGGGGAAAAGCTACACACAATTCTAAAAAGCAGACTAGGATGTTCAAAATTTGCTACAATAACTACAACAGTACCTATACCTAAAGTTCAGACAAACACGGTTTTTTAAACATTATCATTCTGGATTAAAAAAACAACGACAGTTGAAAGGCCATAGCAAATTCTAAAATAAATAATGCTGTAATTCCTAGGATGAAAGTGCATAAAGTATGAATGATAAAACTGCAATTTAAGTGTAAATCCAAGTATAAATGTAAAAATTGACCCACCAGGGGTACTGATATTGCAGTTTAAAACTCTAAAGAATTTAACCTTGACTCAGAAAAGACAGTATTTAGGATGATTTCAGCAGTTCAATTTCCGTGACTATTCAATTTGCCCAGTAACATCATTTACCAACAGTGTAGCATTTTGGACAATACAACTACCTGGAAAAGCACCTCCAGATACCCACAGAGAACACACATTTATATACGTGCTCCCAGGCACTGGTCACTACAGAAAGATGAGAAGAGGGAATGCAGACATTTGTAGAACTTGTACCCTAATGATCTGACCTCTCATACTGAAAACTGTAACCTATGTAAGTTACAGTGAAGTTCTCTGGGTAACAAAAGTGTGTGTTTTTCCACAGCTTCAGCAATTTGACAAGTTCATTCCTCTAGCTTCATAAAGATAAAAAAGTTCAACTGGAATTTGCTAGAAATAAATTATATAAACAAAGATGCTTGCGTGTCATTCATTACTTTTACATAATCTTGTCTCTGCCGTATACAAATAAAAACGTATTTGTATTACCTTTGATTGATGCAAATTACTACTATTTTAAAATAACGATACTGACAGTTTTAAGGGATTTGCTTCACAGTATCATACTTATGATCTCTTTCAGTAAGTATCAGAGCTCACTGGGAGAAATATTATCAGTTTTGATTTATTACTATCCTTAGTGAATAGCTGAAGAATCTTACAAAGTACAACATGAGTCAAGATACCAACTTAACAGATGAAGAACCTACAAATGGTTAATCTGGAGTTTGCCAGTGCTCTCTTTGGCACAAGATACCACCAGATTAAAACAAATAAACAAAAACCCCAACAAGAAAACAAACAAACTACAGAAATTTCAGGTCCATTTAGGTAAGTTTAATATCTAGTAGCCTAAATTTCAGTGGAAGAATTTTTCACTCTAGTATCATGGATTTTGGTTTGTGACTAAAGTACTGCAATAGCAGTGATCCCAAAGGACAACTAAATATGGATATTTCAAACAACTGAAAAGGCTCCATATCCCACAACCAATTCCTGGTCATCAAGTTTTTACTTAAAAGTTCAAATAACTTATTCAACAACAAAAACAGCCAAAAAAACACACAAAAGAAACAAAAAAGCAGAAGTGCCTATATTCTAACTCAAAATTTAAAAGTCACAACTTCCTGAAATTTTCTTGTATATTCCATTTAGGATTTTTGCATTATTTCCATCCATGTGGACTTTCAGTATCATAAGCTTCAACACTGAGAACATTATTTGTTACAGTTTTTCCTAAGTTTAATGTACAACACTAACATGCAAGCCATTAATGCACAAGCATAAAAAGATGTCATTTGAATGTATAAATAAATGCATTTAACCTTTATTAAAATTATATGCTAAATACATCATCTGCAAGTATCAAATGAAAAATCACCTTATAATGCTGACCAAACAGTAGAAGAAAGTCTTGTACCAGACACTTTTCCACACTTTCATTCCATCACTCCCTTCTTTGTCATTGTATTAATCTACAGCGTATGTAGTACACACTTTTATACATAGAATGTTTATTAAAAGTAGTAAATTACAGCCCAAAGAAATGCTTCAAGTGGTATAATGCCTAATTTTTACCAATAACAAAACTGGAAGTTTTTTAAACAGTAGAGTAGGTACAGTCATAAATCAACCACAGGTGATCTGAAAGTAGTCAAAAAGTATAATTAATT